ATTTGAATCCCTTAGTAAGGGAAAACATCCTATGTTTAAGGAAAAGAAGTTGAAATTCCTATATTGAGGGTAGTTAATAGTTGGTCAAATCTCAAGGAACCTGTGTAGTTCAGACTAGTTACAGTTTACCTGAAAGATGGGGCACGTGACAGTTACATTAAGGAGCTAAACTAATACAGCAGTTGTAGATTTGCTAATGCCGCTGTATTTTTCTGCTCATAGCATGGACCCATTCATATGACTAATTTAGGTACAGGCTTCTCCAGTCAGAGTGAGATCGAGAGTGCAGGATCGAAGCCGGCAAGTTCCTCAGGCAAGGAGAGAGAGAGGGACAGGTAAGTTGGATGAATTGTCCAGTGGGTGGTTAACATGACCTAAGAGATAATGTTGGAGTAATTGCTACAGATACCAGTGTTATGAGATTGAAATGAATATGAGTCAAACAAGCTTCTATCTGTTATAATGGATGCAATAAATGGAAAACATTTTCTTCTCTAGAGCCCATATAAAGAAGGAGGTGCAATCAACTATAACTTTTTGAGGGCATGGTTATCCAAGCCTCTTCCTTTTACTCAGGCATATACAACATAACTTATGAAAAATATAGGGTTGCAGCTGTGCATTGTACTGTTTGGTTGTGACATGACTCTCGGTAACCAACCATCTTCAGTCTGTCTCTAGTCTAACCTATCTGTGGCCGAAGAAGTTTAGCCTATTTTAATTTTGGTCCCTACCTACTGCCAAGTTACATAGGTCTCCTTTTACTTCTTGTTGCCTGAATTTTGGCCAGTGTACTGAGAATGGATAAGAGTTGAGTGAGGAGAAATTAAGCCAAATTTGTTACTTGTTAATAGCTTTGGAGTTTTTTGATTTTTTTTTTCTTTTTAAAAGATTTTTGGATAGGAGCTTGAAACTAATGGTCAGAGTGAGTTTAAGGGACTATTTGTAGACTTTTTATTTTCTTCTCTTTACTTGCCTCCTGAATACTCAAGGATTGATTGGACTTGCTTTAGAATGAAGCCCTAAGTGAACGATTGTTGCCCTTAGCCATGCTGGTTCTAAATCTCTTGTCTTTTAACAGGCAGTTGATGCCTCCACCAGCTTTCCCAGTGACTGGAATAAAAACTGAATCTGATGAGAGAAATGGGTCTGGGGCCTTATCAGGCAGCCATGGTGAGTATGGTGTAGGTGGGAGCCTCTTTAGTCTGGGCTATAGCTTTTAGCTTTCTTATCTGTTGTTCACTTGGGTGATCCTGAATAATAAACTGCTTTTCTTTATGTTCAAACACATAGCCTGTAGAAACCTAACCTTTTATCTTTTAACTAGTATGTCAAGGAAGATTCTAGTGAATATTGTCAGTTTACATGGCACATAGTATCAGCTTCCATATTTAAAACTCACCAAAAAGGCTACTAATTGAATTTTTAAATTAAGTAGCAAATTTCAAAATTCAAAAGTAGCATTGCATGCTGTTTAGACACCAAGAGTTAACTTTCTCAGAACTAGTGAAGATAATGCTAGCTCCTTATAGATCTAACATTGAGCCATTGCTCAATCTGAGAATCTTGCCTCTCATCCCAGAACAGTTGCTCTGGACTTTAGAAGGTCCATAGGATGTGGTACCTTTTCATACTGTGGCCTTATTAAAAATAAACAGAGGCAAATACATTTCTTTTATACTTAACTTCTTTCTTTTAACTCTTTAAAAGGTGAAATGTCAGTCCTTACAAACTCACTTGCTAACTTTCCCTTTTTTTTTCTTTTTTGTGTTTCTTTTTCTTTCTCTTTTCTTACATGGTTCTGGTGGATTCACATTTGCTGATGCTGGTGCTGTTTTCGTGTGATCTTCAACGGTTTTGGGTGACCATTGACCCTGTGACCTCAAAATGGTGTCCAACTAACCACTTACAATTAACATCTTTTTTTATTAACAATTTTATGGTATTATCTTTTTTCTTGGTGGGGATGGGGGTTGGGGTTGCCTTTCTCTATTCTAGATTATCCAGCTAAGAAGATGAAAACCACGGAAAAGGGATTTGGGCTGGTAGCTTATGCTGGGGATTCATCTGATGAAGAGGAGGAGCATGGAGGCCATAAAAATGCAAGTACTTTCCCACAGGGCTGGAGTTTGGGATATCAGTACCCTTCATCACAGCATCGAGCTAAACAACAAATGCCTTTCTGGATGGCCCCATAGAAGACAACAGAGCAGATCTTTGATCATCAGTGACTCTTCTCTAGCAATAATGCATGTGTATCACATAACAGACTGTGGAGCTGGGGGAAGCCATCTTTAACATTTCCAGAAGTTAGAGGTGCTGTGGCCCCTTTCAGAGGAGTTCCATTCTTTTAAAAATGTTATTTCTGCAACAGCATACCATTCGTTAAAAGATGTTTAGAATCACAGGCTTATTTCAGGGGAGAGAGGATGTCTTGAGAGAAGATGAAATGTGCTTGCTTGATAAAAGGAGCAAAGTGTTGCTTGTGGTCTGGCTCCCATGTTATTTACAAATGTAAGACCCCAGCTCTGACATGATACAAATACTATTTGTATTTCCCAGCAGTTCATGGATGATTAAAAGCAGTGGCAGCCAAAATCTTAGCATTAATGGGGACATGATTTTGAGAACTTGCATTGTATCTTTTAATATTTAATTCTTCTAAGAGACCCTTTTCCATATTCCGTTGTTGGATTACTTTTGTTTTGAAAAATGCTGTTTTCTCATTTGAGAATCTTGGATCTAACCAGTTCCTGGGTGGAAAGTTGAAGTTATTTCCTCATCTTTATTGGGATTATCTACATACCCAGCACTTTCAGCATATTTATGTCTTGAGACAGTCATTACAACTTTATTTCATCCCTCTAAACTTTCCCTCTCTTCAGCTGGTCCAGATGAAACTCCCTGACTATGAGCAGGTCAGAGCATCTGAAGTTGTTCTCTTACTACTCCCAGTCTACCAGGTTCTTTTCCCAACTGCATAGCTCATCATCATGGAAATTATATGTCTCCACAGAACTGGTTGCAGCTGTAGTAGAGAGACTTGACTGCTCTGACTAGGCTGGTGAATCATTTAGAGTGACTGAAAATGCAACTAGTTACTTTTTTCTTGGCATTACAAAGGTCCTGCCAAAAGAACTTTTTTTTGTATTGAGAATATTGATATGTGAATCCACTGAGAACGTCAGTGCTGGCCTGCAGAGCAGGAGTTAGTGTTTGAGATACTGGGACTGTCGTTTTTGCACACTTGAACACTTTGCAGGCTGGCTTTGTATAAATTTCTCTGGTTTCCTATATGTTGTAAATATTTAGAACCATAATTTCATTATAAATAAATATAAATATTCTGCATTTTGCTTCTCTTTCCTTGGTATTGTATTTTACATTTTCTAGTACAGAAAACTTGTCATATGCTAGTGGATCATTAGTCTGGGTGTTAAGTGCTGGCAAACATTTTTGTGGTTTCACAAAAACAAGCAAAGCAGTTACAGGAGGTAATTGTGTAAGTGTAATAACCTTAACCACCAGTTTATGGTAGAAAATTAGTGACTGACATTGCAAACTGAGGCTGAGTGAGACAATGTTACACAGGTTATGCTAATATTGTTTATATTTATACATATGCATGCAGTTAATTAACCAGGTTATGGATCAGGTTTAAAGAAAAATAACCATTTGGGTAAGGTTAGGGACTAAGTAAAAGGGGAAGAAGGAAGATGTTTTCCCACATGTGAAATGGCTACATAAGATTCTGCTAAAACTTGTCAAATTGCTGCTGGCCTGACTAAACAGAGTAAAACTGATTTGGAAGATGAATGTATGACAAGGTTACTAATGCTGCTTGCTTTTGAAGCACAGATCCAGAAAGGGGTTGTTAGGGAATGCTAAGCTCCAACTCGAAAGACACCACGAGTTGGAGCCCTGTTAATAGAAGGTAAAAAAAAGTAGCTACTTTAAATGCCCTGTATCGTCCTTACTCTGGGTGCTAACTTCCTTGTGGAGATGGGTTAAAGACTTCCCAGGCCATGTGGTACCAGATTGCTGTTTGTGCCAGATGGAGCAACTACACGTAGTTTTGATGTACAAACTGGTGATTTCGTCAATGTAAGGGAACTTCTCTGCATCTACTCAGCAAACTGGCTCACAGAATTGCCTGCACAGGGAGATGTTAATTCACTTTTTCAAGGTCACAGCCTCTATGTGACAAAGGCCTGACCTAGGCCTTGGTCTTGACTCTAAGGTCAGCTCTTTAATCCACTGCTACTCCACACTGCTCCGTGGCGATCCGTAGACTTTCATCTTCCTAGCTCTTGGAGATCTCGAAGGCAGAAAACAGAGGGGAAGTGGAGGGGTGAGGTAATAAGCTTAGGACAGCTGCAACCAAGCTTTAGCCAGTTAATTCTATTCACGTAAATTTTGGGAAGTGAAATACGAGTTTGCTTTCCCTTTTTATGGGAAGGTCGCCTCATCTCCACAAAAAACACGTTTTCAAAACAACAGCTGCTGTTTGGAAAGCACTGCCCCGTTCTCACAAAGGTCTGGTAGATGCCTACCCACCCACCTATCCCCCCGCAGCCCATTCCGGGGATCTAGGATTCAAACCCTCTGCAGCTGTTCTGGGGGAGGATTCCATCGGGTTTTTAAATGCTAACGCCTCTGCCCGTCCCTTGCATTTGAGGCCGGTTTGGATTGAGGCGTTATGCATGGCCCCCCTTGCTTCATTCCACTTTTGCTGTGGGAGTGGCACCAATCTGAGACGGGGTTCTTCCATAAACTCCGGCAAATAGCCCGAGCTGAGATGTTTTTCCAATTTCAGCTTTGATATTGAAACTGGACGCTGCGTTGCTTATGAGAGAGGAGCAGCAACCTGGGCCTCTGGGGTGGGTGCACTGGCTCTAGCCGCACAGCTGAGGCGCGGCCCGGGGACAGGGAAGGGGCTGGGGGGGGGTGGAGAAGGAAGGAGGGAGGGGGCGGGGCCTCGGTGCCGAAGCGTCACGGGGCAGCGGGCCCATCCCCCTCCCGTCCGGACGGTGGCGGCTCCAGGCGCCATTGCCATCTTTCTACTAGCCGAGGGAGGGGTTACAAGTCAGGGTTCCCGGACCGCCGGGCGGGGTCGGGCCGAGGTCTCCAGTCTGGAGGTACGCGGGCCGGGAAGGCCGAGAGGACCGCGGGGGAACAGGCTGAGCGGCGGCCACGGGGCCCCAGGCCCTTCTGTCTGATAGCCCGGGGTCTCCGTCCCAGCGTTGCCCCCCGCCCGGCCCCGACCCAACGCCGCAGTGGGGGCGTGCACGCCGGGGGAAGGGGACCGTCCGCGGCGCAGGACCGTGTCCCCTCCGCTGCGCCCCCGCGGGGGCCAGGCGCGTGCCTGGGGCAGCATGGACGCGGGCGCGCGCGCGGGCGGCGGCGGCGGCTCCTCCGGAGGCTCGGCGGCGGCGACGGCGGCAGCAGCGGCGCAGTCCCGGGAATATAAGCTGGTGATGCTGGGCGCCGGGGGCGTGGGCAAGAGCGGTAGGTAACTCCTCGCGCCCGTCAGGCCGGGCGAGCTAAGTTCGGGGAGCGCGCTTGGCCCCGCCACCGGCCGGTTGCATTCCCGATCCCCCAAGCCGGGGCCAGCCCGCCTCAGTTTCCTTACGCGTGAAAATGGGGGTGAGGGTGGCGGTGGCGACTTGCCTACTTGGGCTTTTCCAGGGTGCCCCTGACTCCGAGCCCCGTCTTCTCATGAACTCTCGCTTCCTCTTTCGTAGCCATGACCATGCAGTTCATCAGCCATCGATTCCCCGAGGACCACGATCCCACCATCGGTGAGTCGGGCTAACCCCCCACCCCCTATAGAGACGGGGGGGGTGGAGATTCACACACCAACCGGCAGCATATCCTCTTTACCCCCCCCCGGAGCTTCCCCGTGTCCCCGAGTCTGCTTGACCAGGACTTCTTTCAGCCCTTCCCAGATCCCCTTTCATTGCTTCAGCCTCGTACCAACCTCTTCTGAAGACCCACATATTAGAAACAGTACTCAACTTGGAATCCAAGGACCAGGTGTCAGATTAGGCCATTGCTCCTTGCTTCCCTGTGTAACCTGGAGCTAATTATTTCACCCCTTTGGCCCGAAGTTTCTTCCTTAGCTGATTCCATATCTAAGTCCTGAGGTTGTGTGCAGCATCAGAGCCCATGCTATATCCTTTGCGGGCCACTGATGAAGGATGCACCAGGTTCCAAAAGAAGCTCCTCTAGATAGGGACTTTATGAATCTCTTTAGAGAGTAGATATTTTTAAAGTAACAAACCGTGGAGCAGAACCACCTGTGTAATTCTTCAGTCCTTGCTCACATCTCAGTGTCTATAAGCCATCCTATGTTGAGCATCAGTGGCACCACTTTTCACCTTCAGCTTTTATGGCTGGATGATATATTAAATTGAAAGGGGGAGGGGAAAAAAAGAGCTGAAATGCCACTTGCCTGGAGCCCTTTCTGGTTTGTCACTTCTCTGAAGGCCTGATTGGAGAGGTGCTATGTAACTATGAGTCAGCCTGTTCAAATTTCCACAAAGGGAAGCAGAAAAGCAAGTAGAGCCCACCCACTGAACTCTCGCTACCCCAGACATAGCCTGGACTTCTCCCCATCATCCCCTTCCTTTGCTTCTTGTTACCTGGAATTGATAAATTTGGCACGGACTTATCCAGTGCCTTTCTGTAGTTTTGACTCTACTGATAGCAAGAGACTTGGGAGAGGAGGAGATTTACTGTTTGCTTTGCTTGGGCTTTAAGAAAAAATTGTCATCCCTCTGAAAGGTGACTTTGTGATTTAATGGAAAGCACTGGATTTGGAATCTGAGAACCTGGGCTTCAGTCCCAGCTCTGCAACTAGTTATCTGTTTACCTTTTGAATTTGTACCTCTACTACCACCTGAAACATAGTAATTGCTTAATAAATGATTGTTGGAGGCAGCTAGGTGGTACAGTGGATAGAGCTGTGGCCTTGGAGTCAGTAGGACCTTCGTTCAAATCCGGCCTCAGACACTTGACACTTATTAGCTGTGTGACCCTGGACAAATTACTTAATCCCGGTTGCCTCACCAAAAAACAAGCAAACAAAAAAGATTGTTGATTGATTGGGTAATTTAACCTTTTTTTTTTTTGACTAGGCAGTGGGGTTAAGTGACTTGCCCAGGATCACACAGCTAGTAAGTGCTATGTGTCTGACGTTGGATTTGAACTCAGGTCTTCCTGAATCCAGGGCCAGTGCTCTATCCACTGCGACACCTAGCTGCCCCTAATTTAACCTTTTTAAATTCATTATCATCCTATGTAAAAGTCAGATAATTGTACTTGAATTCATTCATTCATTATCAAGTGCTTACAGTGTGCTAGGCTCAGGATACAGAGACACAAAATGAAACAGAACCTACCCTCAGAAGAGCTTACTTTCTGTTGGGGTCACAACAGCAGGTCCACAGTTAAGTAAATATAAAATCTGTGCAAAGCTTGTGCATTGGGGTAAAAAGAGGCAGCTTCTAAGAGCCTCTTTTAAGAGGTGGTACCTGCCCTGGGCCATGAAGGAACCTAGGGATACTGAGAGGCAGAAGTGAGACAATACAGGCTAGCGTAGGGGCCAGTCTGCACCCTGGAAAATGCAGCAGTTAAATCAGTTTGCCTGGAATGTAGAATATATGAATGGGAATAATGTACAACAAACCTGAAAAAGTAGGTTGGAGCCAAATTGTGAAGGGCTCTAAATGCTAAACCCAGCAGTGTGTTTTATACTAGAAGCAGTAGGGAGTCTCTGGAACTTTTAAAGCAGGAAAGTGACATTATCAGATGTGTTTTAGGAATATCTATACCTGCCTTACTGGGTTCTTCTGATGAAAGTTCTTTGTAAAAGTTAGAGCCCTATAAAAATGTCAATGACTCATTATCATCAAGTAGATTGTAAACTCCTTGAGAATTTTATTCATTTTTTGGACTTAGCCCAGTGTCTGGCATTTAAAACCTTGTTGATTGATCAGGGCACAAGATAATGTGACTATTACCCCCAAGTTCCAAAGAATTAGGGTTGATTTAGAAGGCTTACCTAATGATATTAAGAAAAACTTTCAGGGACCACTTTAGCTGCAGTTATGCCCTGGGGATGGCCTGCATGAAGTAGGTCAGGCAGACATCCTGAACTCCGGATGACCCATCTGGAAGAATTTCTGTAGGGGCAGGCCTCTGGGGCTCCTTACCCCATTTTCTCTGTAAATACAAAAGATTGCTAGTTTAGTCTGAGCCCATTGGCATGCCATAAAATGGACCAACCTTGTACATGGTCTTTCTAATGGGCTGGATCTAGAGAAGTAGAGGGCATGTTTTTTACATGCTGTATCACCCAACTGCTAACATTTACTATGGAGCTGTTCTGGGCATTTTAGAAATACATTTGGTTTTGATTGTTAAGTCATAGGCTCATCAGATTTATAGCTAGAATGGAACTTGGCTATCATCTCATCCAGCTCCTTCATTTTACAGAAGAAACTGAGGCATAGAGAGTGAAGTGATTTGCCCATAGTCACACAACTGCCAGAACCAGGATTTGAATCTAGGATTTCTGACTTCAGGTCTGTTTGGTACTCTTGCCATTATATCAAGTTACCCACTATAACTGGATTGATGAGTATTCCAGAAACATTTGAAAAAAATGATAATTCTGTATGTTAACGCCTTATGAGGAAGCCATATTCCAGGGCAGTTAGGTGGCACAGTGGATAGAGCACTGGCCCTGGAGTCAGGAGAACCTGAGTTTAAGTTTGGCCTCAGACACTTGACGTTAGCTGTGTGACCCTGGGCAAGTCACTTAACTCCGATTGCCTCACAAAAACAAAAAAAAAAAAAGGAAGCCATATTCCTGGGTTATTTTCCTTGTTTCCTTTTTTAGACAGAGTTATAGCCTAGAAGGACTTGAGGGCAGGGAGGGATTTTTCATGTTACAAAGACACATATCTGTAGTCAGTGAATGTTTGTTCCTGAATGTCAGTTACTTGGTCAGTACCAGCCAAAGAAAAAGGATGCTTGCAAGGTCCAAGTGGATCTTTCAGTTTTAATAGTAAGGATTGCTCCAGCAAAACGAAACATTGCAACATTTAAAAAGAGTTTTAAATTTGTCTTTAGTTTTCAACAATCACTTCCATAAGCTTTTGAGTTTTAAATTTTTCTCCCCCTCCCTCCCCTGCAACATTTCTTTTTACTAGATGTCTTTAAAAGAGATTATATTGCCATTATTTTGATATTATATAAAATATCAATAATAGGTAGAAGAATGAAAATTTTCTTAGACTGGATTTTAAAATATTTGTGAACAAAAGACATCAATAAAGACTTACAATTTTTTTTAATTGTAATGTAGTGTACTTAAATGAGGCAAATCTCGTTTGAGGGCAGTGGATTTAAAACATTTCCCTAAGAAAATGTAGGTCCTTAGGGAACTCAGCCTGTACCTAGGTCTGCTAGAAAAGGACATAATGGTTAAAATAAGATCTCATGTGTCAATTTTACTCAGTCCTGTCCTTTCTTAGTTTTTATAATGGTATACAATAATAGCTAAATTTCTGCATGTCTTCCCTTTTGTAGAAGATGCATATAAAATCCGAATTCGTATTGATGATGAACCTGCTAATCTGGATATATTGGATACAGCTGGACAGGTGCGTGGTTTCTAAAACCCTTATTGCCATGAGAGAAGGCTTTTTAAAGGGATGGGAAAAGTTTACATAGATGAGATCACTACCCCAATTCGATCTTTTTGTTTTCATGCACTCTGACTCAGGATAGCAGGTAATCAATACACTTCTTCCTTTTTCTGGAGCAACTAGTTACTGTATCTGCCTCTAGTTCTGACCAACCAGAATGTTCCATATTTCTTTTGTAGGCAGAGTTCACGGCCATGAGGGACCAATACATGAGGGCAGGTGAAGGATTTATCATTTGCTACTCCATTACGGACCGTCGAAGTTTCCATGAAGTTCGGGAATTTAAGCAGCTGATCTATCGAGTTCGACGGACAGATGATACACCCGTGGTGCTGGTGGGAAACAAGTCTGATCTGAGACAGCTGCGCCAAGTAAGAATCAAGAGGAAGCCTCTGTCGGGGCTGTCTGACGCCTTCTCTCCTCATGTCCCTTTATCTACTTTTACTTTGAATTGAAATGTTAGTACTTTGTCCTCTCAGTGGGGGACTCCTGAAAACCTCCCTGCTACCAAAATTACATGAAAACGTGTTGAATGCAAACTATTATGGGGAACTTTTTTTGTGAAAGAAACAAATCTTAGGTTACGACATTAGGCAGACCGCATGGATAGTGGAAAGGGCACAGAAGAGCTGGGTTTGCATCCCACTTCTGCCACTTTACTACCTGTATGATCTTGGGGAAGTCTTCCAACCATTCTACACTTGAGTTTTCTCATCTCTGAAATGAAGGGAATAGGACTAGATCACCCTGAGGTCCCTTCCAGCTTTAAATCTATGATGTTTTGATTCTCTGTTGTAAAAGAGGCTCAGATGACTTATGGAGACCACCTTAAATAAGCAGGAGCAGGACCCTGGAGGTCATCCTCTAAAACAGGTGAGCTGCAACAAGAGGAGCTTAGTTCAAAGGTTTCACTTCCTGATAACACTGTCGAAGATGACTTAAGAGAAACGATGGAAGACTTTAGGTAGAGGAGACACTCATGACTGTTTAAAACAGCTTCCCTAAGAGCAGGAAGAGAAACAAGAATGCTGAGATCCCTGTTAGCTTTTAGACTTAGTGTAGGGTGGGTCTCTTGGTTTAATCACTTTATCTGCCTGAAGTATATCATCAAGATTATAGAATTTGATGCATACAGTTGTTTAGTTTTTCAAAAAGTTAGACTCAGATCAGTTGGTTTTAGCATGAACTAGTGCTTATTTTATTTCATGACCTCGTGGATTTTAGAATTGGAAGGAAACGTAGAAGTCACGGGTACCATCTCCTGCATATTTCAGAAGTCTTTATTGCCTCCTTGATCAATGCTTTTCTTCTCTCTGCCTGGATATATTTAATAATGAGGAGCTTATTACCACACAAGACAGCAGCTTATACCATTGGCAGGGAACAATTTTTTTTTTACAAGGAACTTTCTGTTGTGTTCTTTCTCCAAGGTCACCAAAGAAGAAGGCATAGCTTTGGCCCGTGAATTCAGTTGCCCCTTTTTTGAAACTTCAGCTGCATATCGGTACTACATCGATGATGTGTTTCATGCCCTCGTGAGGGAGATCCGTAGGAAGGAAAAGGAGGCAGTGCTGGCCATGGAGAAGAAATCTAAACCCAAAAGCAGTGTGTGGAAAAGACTGAAGTCACCTTTCCGAAAGAAAAAAGATTCAGTAACTTGAAGGGACAAATTAAAATCTTTGTGCCTGTGAACTGCAGCACATAACCAGAGCAGTCCAGTGACCTGCAGAGCTTGCTCTTCCTCGTTTGGACCATTGTATTTTTAGATAAGGCAGAGATGAAGGGACATACCTACTGGGGTTTTCCAATGAGGTGGTATTTGGAGTAATGTCTCCTAGTTTTCAGGCTTATGAACCCAGTGGGACAGTGCTTCCATTTTTGTTTTAAATTGTCACTTTTGAGTTTAATCCATAAGTACTCTGAACTCAGTTGTTGGTGTTAATATGTTAGCACAAAATGTCTATACCCAGGGTGGGGTGTATCCCTCATGGGAGCTGCACAAAGCTCCCAAGAGAATAATTTTTCTGCTGTGCAATCTGTATTGTCTTTCAACTTTCAGTTTCCTGGGGTTGCCCCAAAGGAGGGACCTTTGTCTTTCCTTTTCATACTCTGCTTTCTAAAAGCAGAGCAGAAAGTCAGCCCAGCCAGGAAACCTATTCAAGTCAGTGCTAAAGATCATCAGATAGCTGGTGAGCTGACTCATGTTGCCATGTGTGAGTTGAAAGACTGAAGGTGGTGAGGACATTAAGTGTGTGTGCAGGGGCTTGGCTAGAATAGATACGTGAGCTAACCCCGAGATCCTCATAGCATACTAATACAGGCCTCGTTTTCCTAATACGTGCCCAAATTGCCATGTCTACTGGGATAGGTGAATACAAACAAAACAAACACAGTGGGGTTTCTCCTGTAGTTCTGATTTGCTTGGCTTACACAGTTTTGCATTTCTTTAGCCTCACTGAGGTTAATACTATAGAAACCATCAGAGGATTGCCAAACCTCATTATATAAATCCTAATCCCGCTTACCATCATCTTGGTTAGAAAAAATGTTCAAGAGGCATATGGACCAGTACATATATCTGCCTTGCTTGTAATTATTTTTTTAATCCTTCATTGCTCTCTAAAAAGACAGTAGTGCACTGCCATGGGGAGGAGCAAAACCTAAAGACATGATCTTTTAGGCTCCTCTTCACACTGTTGAGATCAGGTGAAGTTGTATGTGTGCCTTCTGGATATCCAGAGTCACTAGACTCGGTGCTTAAAAAAAACAACAACTAACATTTGGATTTTACCCAGTTGCAGCTGGCATTAAAGGGGCTGTATCTTTAAAGTTTTGAGTTCAGTTTATCCTTGAATTTCCTCATGAGAACTGCCTTGCCTGTGTTGAAATGCCATCAGTGATGTCGTTCTCTGTCTTGTCAGTATTATTTTGACAAGAGAGCTTAGAATGTATAGAGATGGGATTCAGAAGTGCTCAAAGTGGGGCAGCTAGGTGGCTCAGTGGATAGAGCACTGGCCTTGAAATCAGGAGGACCTGAGTTCAAATCTGCTATCAGACTAAAAACTTGACACTCACTAGCTGTGTGACTCTGGGCAAGTCACTTAACCCCAATTGCCTAAAAACAAATAAAAGCAAAACAAAAAGTGCTCGAAGTAATTTGTATTTGCAGGATAAAACCACCTTTCTCTGCTTTGACCTTTTAAGAAGATGACCTTATATTTATATAGCACCTTAAAAAGAAATAAAATTCCCTGTTCTACCCTTCCTCAGATACAAGAGAGAGGATAGGGTGGGCAAGTTTGTTTTCCCCTTATGGGTTTGAAGAAAAGTGCTTGTTTTATCTGGATTTTGCTACTAGGTAAACTATGTGCTGCAATATTCAAGACAAGTAAGAAAGCATGACCCAAAATTAACATTCAAAGAGAAATGACTTTCAGGGTCCTTTATGGTTTTGGGGTCAGAGTGTAGATAAAAGAGTACAATAAAGCTGCATTGCACCTTATTTCAAATGTCTTAAGACACAAATTTTGTGAAAGACATGAAGCATTATATTAATTATGAAGTCATTTATGTCATCCCAGAAACTAATAACTACAATAGTGAAAAATGTTGTTCCATGTTCATCCCCTTCAACCCTCCCCCCCAAAAGATCTGTAAGGCAAAGGGGAATTCTGTGCCGTGTAATAGGAAAAGGAAATAGCTGGCTTTTGTTTTTAAGATTATCACTTCTATTTTTTTTTTCAATTTCTGTGGTCAATTGGCACATGTTTTTTAAGCTCCTACTATGTGCAAGGCACTGTGCCAGGTGCTGTGAGGGCTACAAAGCCAAATAAGGCACAGTCCCACCTTTCCTCCAAAAGATTACTGTCAAGTGTTTAAACTTACAATCCACGAATTAGCCAGGTTAACTAATCCTTTCTTTATCTTTAACTTTCAGGCCTTTTTAGCCTATTACTTTTGGAAGCTGAAAGGCAGTACAACCAGGCCAAATCATTAAATTGCTGCATCTAGTAGGATTTGCTTTCAGGAAATGGGAAAGGGGGCATGTTTGATTTTTGAAATGACTAGTTAAGTCAATGGCAAGTCCTTGTCTGTGATAATCAGGAAAAGAAAGATGTGCTTTTCACTTATTCACGTATATGAAGATATTAAATGTACTTGACAAAATACAGAACTTTTTAAAAAAACAGCCTTAGTGTTTGCTTTTTTTGGTCTGCTTGTAAGTGAAAGGGCTCGGAACCACACTATAGCATGACAAAAGAAGTACCTTTGTATTTTAAAAGAATTTAAACCAATATGTTATAGGAAGACAGATTTTGGCATGATACAGGGAAAATTTGCCAAAAATTAGAATATGTAATGGACAGTCTCAGGACATCATCACAGGTTGTCAGACAGAGGTTACGGCACCATGTATCTATAAGAACGGGATTCCTGTTCTTCGAGGATTTGGACCTAGTAGGTGGCCTGTGAGGTGCCTTCCAACTCTTCTATGTTACATGATTTTATGACTTTTTTATACAAATACACACAGACACACCTTCATTTGGTCATATACCCTCTCTTTGCTCTCTACTGCGTTGTGTTTCAAGGGGTTGCCAGAGAAATAGAAGAGGTGGTTTCTGTCTTCAAGGAGCCTGTGCCCTCTATGGATACATCAGACAGATATGTGAAAAAAGAACGTTTGAAACCTTTTAGAGTGTGAACTTAATAGGATAAAAGACAGTGGGATGTGGTGGTTAGAGGATCAGTCTTGGACTCCTGCCTCTGACACAAACTAGCATTGGAACTGAGGATAACTTGCTTATCAACAGCCCAGTGAGCCAGGCAACTCTTCAGATTATAAAGTGCAGATAAGTTATTAATGTGCATCTCTGGAGGGAGTTTTCCACACACGGAGTTCCCCTTACTCAGAAAATCACATGCCCAGACCAAAATGTGTATGTGTTGTGTGTGAGACAGAGATTAGATTTTAGAAGAGTTATGAGTATAAATGTAAACACAAGGTTTAGGTTAGCCGCTAAGTCAGTGTTTTACAAACATAAGTGTTTCTTCACTTTTTTCATACTGTTTAGTACCTCCTATATACTTCATAAAAGAAAATTTTCTCAGCTCCTATGCGAATGTTTTAATTTTGTAAGAGCATGTCCTAAACCCAAGCATTAAAAACAACACTGGTAAATAATTTGTACTTTTCAAAAAATGTTTATAACAAGTAACAAATGACTTTAATGTTCAGGCTTTTAAAAAATTTTTTTTATTAAGAAAAAAATATTAAGCACTTACTATGTGCAAACTTTTTTCATGAAAAGTTTCTTGATGTGATGTCAGTGATACTGCTACTTATAGTTCTTACTCAACTACTTTCTAAGATATTTTTTCTTTGTAACAGCCATAGTGGAAAATTTCTATTTCACACAAATAAGATGTGAATGGTAGTAAAATGTGTATTGCTTTGTATGTACTTTATGTATATGTGATACATACGAAGAACTCTTTATCAGTGGAAGAAACATAGAATTTTCGGGTTCATATGCTTGCTTGTATTATCACTCTTGTTCAGATGAATTATAACAAATGTCTCATATGTGACCAAGGCATAATAGGTTTCTTATCCATTTTTATTTAGGAATATGTAGGCCTTTAAGATAAAATGAGGATTTCTTTTATAGATTTGTCAAGTGATTAATAAGCGATTATTTTATTTCATTTTATGCAAGGTATTTTTTAAATTGGGCAACAATTTTTGCCTCTAACTTTAATCATTGTGGTCATTTTGTCAGTCTGTGTCAGAGCATGAATCTGAGGCCCTTGTATTGACTTATTTAGAGTACTCAGTTTTTTAAAAAGCATCCAGCAAGTACACAAACTTCAGGAGGAAATATTTATAAAAATAATTTTATTTTGTATTGTTTTTGCTAAGAAAAATGGTGGCATCTTGGATCATCTCGACCTTTGTCTTGCCACTGGACTTCAGTGACTTTCAAGGCTGACTACTTTGCACAGCTCTGCCTCACTTAAATCCAATTCATTCGAAAGTCAAGAAATCACTCTTTGTGATGTTATTGGTCCTCTTTAAGAACAAAGGACAAACAACAAGGAAAATGGCATTTATTTTTGGCTCAAATACACTTTGAAGGATGGTGGCACAAGAAACGCATAATTTGTAACAATAGAGAAGTGCTCTGATCCGTTGCCACCATATTGTCACCCAGTTGTACAAGGAGCCTTCCTTTTCATGGACTTGTTTTTTGTAAAGTTGATTGCTGTTGCAGTAATTTGAAAAAATTTGTACCTCCTCACCCATTTCTCAGTCTAAGGGATTATCTGTAATTCAGACAAGGTATCCAAATTCCACAAGGGATTACTACATTGTAAACTAGTACTTGTTGGCCTCCATTTGGTTGTAATGTTAATTGTGTTTTGTTGGTGCAAAGTACCATGCAGTTCTCCCACAACTTGATTTTCATTTTTAAAAATCCATCAATTGAAAATTCATCTTGAAAATTGAAAATTTATTTTTAATCTTGGCATTGCCATCAACAAGTTTATAAAGTAACAACATACACACAAACATATATCATCAAATGAGCATATTTAAGTGTATCTGTTGCTTCACCCACTTGCAATGTAAAAATTGGAATATGTTAGTTTTAATTTGATCAAAAAGGTTTTTGGACAAATAGGCAATTTTCTCACTGTATTATTTGCATTTGGAACTATTCAAAACTGCTTTGCATTTGATTCACCAAGTATTGTTTCAACCATTTCAACAGATGCAGGTAGCACCAATGTTTCTCCCGCTAAATTAGGCTTTTTAAACCTGGTAATTTGGCTGATAACCTAATAGGATACTATGGAATCTTTCTGATGTCACTGTTTTTGAAAATTTGTTTTTGCTCTAAAGCACCTAATTTCCCCTGGAAAAATGTTCTTTGCCAATATATTTTGCATGGAAATTTCAAAATGTTTTAATTTATTAGGTTTCATGCAACTGAAATATATATATATATATTTTATGCAGAGCAAACTAGCAGTCTTTCCTCTCCATCAATAATAATTCTTGTGAATCCCAATGATATTATAATGAATTGGATTTGTGAATTTGGGCTTTTTAATTTGTATTCATGTACTTCTACTTTATTGTCTCTGTACTAATTTTAGCCTCTCCAGTGGATTTTCACTTCAAGTCAGTTTTTTGACTATGAAGGGATTTTACTTTACTTTAAAAATTAGAAACAGTAAAAAGTTTAAGAGAAATTTAGATGATTGACAGTTTCAACCATCTATAGCCATTTTCAGCTTGTTTCAATTTTTTTTATAAATTGCAGGTTTGTTGTTGTTTTTAAAAACCAGATTATTATGCTATGCTTACCAACTCACGGGACCGTCAGTCTTAAGGGGGAAGCAAAATGAGGGGACTGGGAAACTTCTAGAAGTCCTTGTGAGCGTAAAGGGTGTGAAATTCCAAAGAGCAGTTTGTCATTAAGATGGGCTTCAACTCAATAGTGAGAAAATATCTCTCATCTTTGCAAGATAATCCTAGATTTGCCTATCTTACTATCTCTTCTGGTCAGCTCTTCCAATATTTCACCTGCTGAGTGGCTAGCCCTTGAACTTTGGTACTAGAAAACTTAACAGAGAAAAAATTCACAAACTGAACTAGGAAATTGTAATTCTCTTACTAGAGATGGCTTCCCTGTCCCCTGGGATGAGTCGAGTAAGAGCTTCCATGGAACAAGTTCTTCGCCTCTTCCCCTCTTCCCATCCTCCCCCATGACATGACACTCCCAGAGGAAAATCCCTGAGGAACTAGGCATTCTGTTTCTCAGGCAGTAGCATTAGGAGATCATCTGAGAAAGTAGTTACCACACTTAGATTACACAGTTTTCATCATTTGGTCTGAAAAACAAAGATGGGTGTCTCAGTCACTAATCCCCCTTGGCTGGGTGTTGCATTTCTTTGCTCCCTTGTTCTACCTGCTAAGCCTGTTTGCATTTCACTTCCAAGAAGGAAGCTCTGTAGCTACTTTTAGCTCTCATCTGAGGGAAG